CCTGGACCCTAAGATCATATTCAGAAGCCCTTGCCAAATGAGGTGTGGTGGGTGGCTACTGGAGACAGGGCCTTTTCAGTGGTGGTACCTACCTGTAGAAGGTCCTCCTTGAGTGTCCTGCCTGGTGCTAACATGCTAATCTTTTCTGCACCTGAGGAAGAGCTTTTGATTTCCCCAGCCTTTATAGTTTTAAAATGATATCTGTGCCTTTTAAGGCTTTGGGCACTACTGGGTTTATTCTGATAAATTTATTTTATGTTTATATTGCACTTTTATTATTATATATATATATATATATATATATATGCAACAAAAAATTGAACAGCTTCTAGAGCACTTACTGTTAAATGGGCAGTATAAAATGCTGCAAGTAAATAAATAAAGAGTTCTACTGGATCATACCACAGAGCCACCTAATCTAGCCTACCATCTTGTTTGACACAGTAATCAACCAGATAGCTCCTATATACATTCAGGTAAGACAGGAAGGAAGATACCCTCTTGTTTTGCTCCCCAGCAGCCGGGATGCAACACACTGTATTCACAAGAGATGATGCCAGTCATCCTGCTAGAATGAACGTGTTTTTGTAAATGTTCGAAAACCATGCATATAGCTTTGTGGATCTCTGTACTAAGTTTTTCCATCAGGGGTGGGGAACTTGTGGTCCTTCAGCTGTTGTTCGACATCAGTTCCCATCAGCCCCAACCAGCACAGCCAATGGTCAGGAATGATGGAAGTTGTAGTCCAACAAATATATGACCACAGTTCCTCATTCATCCCTGTTTTACATAGTGTCAAGGAGTCTTGTCCTTGCTGCTCTCTTCTAGTCCAAGGCTCCACTCTGCTGCTTCCCAAGCTTGCGTGTTTCCCCTGCGCATATTGCAATGTTTCTTAAAGGGATATCACCACAGTTAAGTGGCGAGTCTAAATGAAGACCTTCATGTAGACATTGAGTAAAGAATGCATTAGGCAATGGATGGTCAGAGCCATGTAATGATTATTGGATTGTAAGTAGCAACATACTCAGAAGGAAATAAGATATTGATTTACATTTTTAATAGGCACTTTTTCCAGGTTGAACACACATCCTTAGAAAAACACATCTCAAAGAGCTTAGCTGCAGCTGATTCTGCCTATGAATGGTCCTCTCATGTGGTTTCTGAGTAAGTGTATCCTTGGTAGTATATTTGTTCCAGTGGTAAATAAAATCTCAATTCAGCAACCAAGTGGTTTACCAATAGAATAAGTGTGGATATCCAACTTTAAAGTAAAACATTCTTGGTGTTAAAGCATAGCCACATTACAAACCTCGGAAGACTGAAAACCCCAATGATTTTTCCAATTGGAATTCCATCTTAATATGAAACTCATGGAATATAAAATAGACTTGATTCTGTGACATCTGAGTCTGAGCGCTGGATGTGAGATGCTTGTGTTTCTGCAAACTAGCCTAAGTTCAAACATCATGAATCTCCTCACATCTTCAGTATATCTGTGATTTGTTAACTGTGAATATTAGGTGGAGTTGTGCACATTTTGTGAAGCATAACATATTAAATGGAACCATGCAGTGGAAAAATAGAATGGCACTTTGATATCCCATTTTGTTCCACCTAGCATTGCAGGCCAACATTCCTCTTCTCTTTCTGTTTATTTCCCATGGAGAAGTACAAGTGGGAGATCTGAAGGAACCGGACTTAGAAGCAACTTGAAGTATGTGCATCTGCAAAAGGGGGCTGGTATATTACGGTATATTATGGAGGATTGCACTAGCAAATATAGAATAGCTCAGCTGTGAGAACAGTAGAAAGAAAAGTGGACAAAAACTTATAAAAAGGGGCCAAATGCTAGGGATGTGTGGCTCTGTATGTATCGCGAATGATGGGGCCTATAGATGTTTCAGGGTGGTCTTTGAAGTAAACAAATTGCACCATTAACAGGACATGTCAAGGTAGATCAGGGAGGGTCCAACCTTCCAAGTAGCTCCGCCTCCTTGGTTTTTCCATAAAACCAAAAGCACTTCCTCTCCCTGCCCTTTTCTTTTCTGAGAAACTAAACTATTATGACTGGAAAAACAACCAGAGACAGAAGGAGGTGTGAAGTAGAAAGGAGTTTGGGAGAGGCGAGATCTTTCTATTTTCCTACTCCAAAGGTTTTGAGATAATTTGTGGGAGAACAACAGTGCCTATCTTTCTTACATTTGTCAGGCTTCACTCCCTTAGAAGGGGCGGTCCCCCTGTCATTTGCATCCAGTTTTGGCAGAAAGAAAAAAGAAGCTCAAGACATTTTCTTTTAAAAACCAGATAAACTTTAAAAATTACTTACATGAAAAAAACCCAGGACAGTTCTGCCTTAAATTTGGTAGGTTAAAGTCCACTCTGGAGGGACTCCTTTGCCTGCAAATTTCATACACATGTGAAACAAGAAAGCCCACAAACAGGACCAAAACACAGCACTCTCCACTCCTGCAATTTCCAGCAACTGGTATTCAGAAGCATACAGCCTCCAACCATGAAGGCAGAGCGTAGTCATCATGACTGGTAGTCACTGATAACCGTTACCTCCATGAATTTGTCCAATCCCATTTTAAATGCAAAAATAAATTTATTTTTTGAAAAGAAAAAGCCATCTACATTGGTGGCAATCACTGCCTCCTGTGAGACAAATTCCGTAGTTTAACTGTGTGAAGAAGTACAGCAGGGTTGAGGTGCATTCTCTAATAGGAACCTGCATGCCAGCACCTGCTTGCTTCAATAGTGGCTTGTTGGGCAGCCAGAGACAAGGAAGATGGGCTAGCATTCCAACACAAGGTTGGGCTGAGAACAGTTCCAGCCAATTTAGCTAGCTGTAAAAGCCAGGCAGCTATTTTAATCAAGAGAACAATCCATGAGGTTTCTGCAGGTTTGATATATTAATTACCAATGAGTCCCAAGGCTAGCCATAAAGCCTCTTTGCAATTGAATCGTACATTTAGATGGTACTAATAGCAAAGCAAGTCTGTGTGTGTGTGTGTGTGTGTGTGTGTGTGTGTGTGTGTTGGCAATTCAAGCCACTGAAGCAAAGATTCCAAATGTCCAATCTTCCCAATTAAAAGCATTAGTTTATGTTTTCACTGCGCCAATTTTAAGAACCTATGGCTGCTCAGAACAAACTCTTGCACTATACTATCTAACCAGAAAGGAGCCACTTCATACAGTGCTCACTCCAGGACATCTGGAGATATTTGGTTGGAAGCCTGTGTTTATGCTTACATGCGCTCTACAAAAATGTGCCTGCTCCATGGACATCTTTTCTCTGAGACGGATCCATTTCTTATAGTTCTGAATACAAAGAGGCAAATTTGAATGCATGTGTATGATTCCCAAGAAAGTAACATGAGAAGAAGCCCTCATACGAACTTAAAAAAGGAAAGTAAATGGTGTGTCAGAAAGCAAACCTTTTAACATAAATATAATATCAGTGTGCTTATTTAGAGATGGCAAGAAGGTGGACTTCACATGCCAGAGTCCAAAGCCAGCAAAAGGCAGCTGCAGCTGCTGTTCATTGGTGAAGACACATGTTATGTAAAATTGCAGATGTGGTTTACCCTTTGCAATGTAAGGAGGATAGGATTCAGAACAAAAGAAACCCAACATTGCATGTGTGAATTAGAAAAAAGGGGATGAGAAGATAATTTGAGTACCTTCTGTAACAAATCAACATATTTTACCTAGGAGTAACCCCGGCTTCACCACATCTGGAGTTACCTCCAGGTAAACATGTATAGGGGTTGCACTGTAAAACCACCATTCCTCCTTCTCTACCGCCAACAAATCATGTAGTTGTCTGAAATCAGGCCTTGATAATCTAATGGAAAATTAACACCTAACTACAAATTTGAACACCATATCTGTATGCATCTTTATGCAATGAAGCATTTGATAATAAGAGGCAACCCCCACTTTGCACAGGGGTTGCATTCTGGGTCAACACGCATGACAGCAGTGGAGTGCGCACAAGCCCGCTGCGCCCCATTAAGCCCCGTTCTATCCCCCTTTCCAGGCACTTCCAGGTCACCACAATGCGCATGGTCACAAGCATGGGTCAATTGGACATGCGTAAATTGGCCTGTATATAATATTTTCCTGAATATTATTTCCCCAAAACATGACAACAATAGAAATTCACTCAGTCAACAAACCTCTGTCAAACTGTGGAAGAGCCAGAAGCAATTGTTAAGAAAGAACACAGAAACACAATATCCTGTTCACTAACCAAGATATGCATTGTCTGTATTTTTGGTTTGTTGTGAACATGTTTACACAGAGCTATAAAAGTCAGAATTAACAATTTAGTGAAACACAGAGATAAATGTCCTATTGGGTGCAGGTGGGTTAGAGGCAAGCCTTTTGTTTATAATACTATGATTCATCCCGTTCAAAGACACTAAAACCACAAACTCCTGTGTGCAACATTTTAGCATCCTGTATATAATCCCTACAGGAAGAATGGCGACATAGTTTATAAAACCTTTTCTTATTCATCCCTTCTAAACTTCCTGAGTTCTACTTTATTAAAGATTATCAACTTCAAATGAACTCTTTTAAGTGACCCTAGGCGCATTATTGCCTCAAAATGTAAAAGGATGAGGCAAATAACGTTGTCCTCTGACATTTCATAGGGACACTCCTGTGTATAATGACTCTGGTGAGACTGGAGTGAGTCATGGCCTAATGGACAATGGTAGGTCAGAGTTACATCATTTAAAAAGAGATGTCCTCAATAGACTGTGTTCAGGGCCGTCTTAAGCATATCTGGCGCCATGATCCCCCCGGTGCCCCCACCATTCCCAGAGTTGACCTTTTTTTAGGGCTGGAGGAGGTGGGCAGTGGCTGGAGACGGCTCCTCTGGCGGGGAAGAGGCGGAGGCTGGACGTGGCACCTACTGGCTCAGCTGGCCGCTTCGTGCCGCAGTGGCCATGGCAGGCAGCACACCGAGCAAGTGAGGGTGCTTGCGCCGCTCCTGCCAAACGTTGGCTCAGTTTTTCCCCTTTTAGCCTTCTGGCGCTCCGCAGAATTCGGCGCCCGCAGGCTAAAAGGGAAAAAACCAAGCCGATGCTTGGCAGGAGCGGCGCACACACCCTCGCTCACTCAGCGCATGTGTTTGGTATTCCCTGGACTCTCGTCTGGCGCCCTCCAGAACTTGGCGCCCCACGTCACTAGCCTCAGTGGGTAAGACGGGCCTGACTGTGTTCATCTGATATGTAATGGGAAGGAATTCCAGAAGCAGAAGAAGAGGTGGGGGATTTTCTCAGGACTCTTGAAGGATAAGAAAGAAATAATCATTGGCAATTAGTGATGAGGGAGAAATGTGATTCAGCACACTTTTAAAGACGAACTTTCCTCATTCATTCACAATTTCCAAAACAACAGTTGAACTGAAACACAGGCATCCTAAAAAATTCTCTGAATTTTACAATGCAGTTCTCCATGCATATACAGTGGTACCTCAGGTTAAGTACTTAATTTGATCCGGAGGTCCGTTCTTAACCTGAAACTGTTCTTAACCTGAAGCAAAGTTCTTAACCTGAAGCACTATTTCTGGGTTAGCGGAGTATGTAACCTGAAGTGTATGCAACCTGAAGCGTATGTAACCCGAGGTACCACTGTACTGGAGTAAATTTTTCAAAAGGACTTTTCAAGGGAAAAAAAATCACAAAATGATGTGAAAATTGAATTTAAGACTGGGAAAATGAGAACTAGAGACAACCTGAAATTAACAGATTTGCCCGTTCCTTTGATAGCCCTAGATTCTGAGGCCACCAAGCTGGTATGCAGAGCAACTTTATGTTGCAGGAAGGAACTGTCTACGTTTCCTGCAGTATTTTTAAATATGGTTCCATAGACAACTGCCCTTAAACTGTGTTACCTTTTTGTGTGTGCTTATGACAGCTATTTGTGTGGTATTTTGTTCCCACTTAGTGCTGGAGACATGCCAGAATTACTGACTTCATTGGTGTGGCATTCAGGAAATGGGAAATGGGAATAATGCGACATAACAAGTGCCGATAAAAAGCTGTTTTCTGTCAGCAATTTCTTATTGCATTAATAAATGAATATGTGATATTAAAGCATTATGCAGAATTTCAGTGAGCTATTGTTTTAATCTTTCCTCACCAAAGAAACACACAAAGAAGCCACACATTTTGAGTTGGTTTCAACTAACTTTTACTCAGAGAAGACCCACTGAAATGAATGATCATGACTAACTTAAGTCCATTAATTTTAAGGTATCTATTCTGAGTAAACATTGAACGTTTTATTCTGTGAACCACCCTGAGACCTGCAGGTATATGGTGGTATATAAATTCAAGAAAAAAAATTAATAATACTATAACCCTGTTTCTAACTAATAAGGCAGCTTTGTAAGACCATACAGAAACAATACACATTTGCCACTTTGAACAAATTGACTTCTAGTATGGGAAAACATAGAGCAGTCCAAGTGAATAGGGTTAGGAACAATTCCCTTTGCAGGTGGTTTTTTTCAGACAGGAATGAATGGCACAAATGGACTCATCAGACTCAGTGGCAGCTACCTGAATTTACTGCATGCAAGTGGTATTCCTTTAAAAATCATGTGCAGCCCTCAGATTTCATCATGCAACTTTGTCTCTAAAAAATATAAATTCTGCATTATGATCATAATTAGTATGTCCTAGCTGGGAGGAAAATACTATTTGTAAAAACCTAAAGAACAAATTTCTAATTAATTGTCATCAGCACGGAGCAGCTTCCTATATTACAGTCTCACTAACTTTAATCTGTGTTGAAAAAGTTGGTATCAACAGTGGAATCCCTTTTAAATGCTAATGATCATGAGTTCCTCTATGACACAAGCACAAATATCAGTCAGATGAGTAGTTTGCTATAGCTTAAGATGCTTGGCTTGCAACATTTGGATAAACAGAAGAAAAGCCTTTCTTTTACTGAGTCCGTAGTTTCTATAGATCAAAGCTCATTTGCCCTTTAATAAGGTCCAGTCGAGGAATTAAAGGAAGGCTCAGACTTTATGTGTCAGACTTCCAGAACACAATTAGGAATGAAACAAAAGGAGCTTATATTGCTGCCTTTAGGCTAGAAAGTTCTGTTTTACAAGCCAAGATGAAACACATGTCCGATGCTAAAACCCAGCCTTTCGATCAGGATAATCACAAAAAAATGTAAGAGAACCTGACAGAACAAAGTGTTTAATAGTCATGGCTGCAGAAAACGACTAAACATTGATTTTAAATTACAGGAGACCTGACATTTTAACAAGAAAGAAATTAAATTGCCTTCACCTCATAGTTTTAAAGAGTTTCCACACTGTAAAGCCACAAATTGTACTAGCCTATGGAAGACTAAGGGGACGCAGGTGGCGCTGTGGGTTAAACCACAGAGCCTAGGGCTTGCCGATCAGAAGGTCAGCAGTTCAAATCCCCGTGACGGGGTGAGCTCCCGTTGTTCAATCCCAGCTCTTGCCAACATAGCAGTTCGAAAGTACGTCAAAGTGCAAGTAGATAAATAGGTACCGCTCCAGCAGGAAGGTAAACAGCATTTCCGTGCGCTGCTCTGGTTTCAGTATTCCATTGTGCCAGAAGCGGCTTAGTCATGCTGGCCACATGACCTGGAAAAACTGTCTGTGGACAAAGTCGGCTCCCTTGGCCAGTAAAGTGAGATGAGCGCCGCAACCCCAGAGTCGTCCGCGACTGGACCTAATGGTCCAGTCTTTACCTTTATGGAATAATAGGGTGGAAAGAGACCTTGCTAACATTTCAGAGAATTTGTATATTCCAGCTGTGTCTTAGCCGCACAAGAGCAGCATATATTGTTTATGGTTAACATTCATAGCATTAACAACACATTTAATTTGAATTCTCAGTTTGCTCAGGTATTAAATACTTTTTTTTTTTACTCTGTCTTTTGGGTTATCTCTGTATTACTGAATTGTGCTTTGGAAATGCAAATATAAATTACTTACAAGTTACAGAGGCTGAAGTTATGAAAACCTGCCCTATTGGGCATTCCATATGATATTGTGATAATATGCTCATGCAGTTTTTCAGGTTACTTTTCAGGTTTTCCCCATCTTCTTACACTTCTTGCATCTTCTATCTCCACACGTACTGTAGATAGATAGATCTCCACTGCCAAGACCATGTACACACTATATTTAAAACACACATATCCCAACAATCCTGAGAGGTGCAGTTTATTAAGGCTTCTGTATGTTCTAGCTCTGTGATCTGTAAACTACAGTTCCCAGAATTCTTTGGGTGGCGTGCAAATGTGCTTTAAATGTAGGTTGGCAGCAGCAGTCATAGATAGGCAAATATTTCAAAGTCGGTTCATTCTTTCACAAAGTTCTGTTTCCAAGTATGCTTCAATGTTTAAAATTAACCCTGTCTTATTTAAAACTATGCTGCAAAAGTCACTAAATTGATCATTTTAAACCAAGCCCCAACCAAATATCCAGTAAGCCTTTTCTTTGCATCTATTAAAATGCTATTAAAATATACTGCCAACTAAAATTTATATTAGACAGAGTTTCCCTGTAACATTTTGAAAATGTTTTTCCTATATATCTGAGACTTTTCTGAACCCATATTAATTTACTTACTACTTTAAATCACTTTAGCCCACACTTTGAGACGATTGGAAATATTTATTAGTATTTTAAGGTTAAGGTGCTTAGTTACATCATTGCAGAGTCAGATTTATAACAGCCAATGAAGTCATCCTTACTGATTCTCATAACTTTTTTCTTCACTTAATGCGCTAATATCCCATTATTTCTGTTTTCCAATTACACATATAGCTTATGGACCAGTAACCTTTATCTGAAGTACCATATATTTAATTTATAATAACCACAAAAAATGTTCTGTAATGATCTTGTGATTAATAGGGCAGAATTTAAGATGTATAGACATGAAATGTATTTCAGCTGTAGCAGGCTAAGAAATAGCATTAAAAGGGCCAACATTTTGCTAATTGCTCCATAATATTTTTGTAGATGATAACACTAAATCCAGTGTCTGGCTTCCAATTTCATACTAAATGTCATTTTGTAAAAATGCAGTATCTGTAGCAACATCATATTGTTGCAGGATGGTTTTTCTAATGCATATAACTTTGCATTCTCTGGCTACTCTCACAATATGTTATTATTTAAAGGTATCTGTAAAGTACAGAGGAACCGTGTGAAGTGTGGAATTCATTCATTTTGTCTACTGAGTATATGTATGACAACCATATATGTGTATCAACATTTATGAAAGGGACTACGGTTAAGCTTTTTTCCAGAGGGATGGTCATGCCAGTCTGTTGTATCTAAACCAACAAAGAGCCCTATGGCACCTTGAAGATTAACAAATGTATTATGGCACAAGCTTCTGTGAACTATAGTCCATTACATCAGATGCATGCAGTGGTATCCTAAGTCACAAACAGAATCCTAGAGCAGGTTGGGAAATTAGAATCCAGGTCTCCCCATCAGATATCCATGTATCATCTGGCTCGAGCTCCCAACCTTGTGGATTACGGTACATCAAAGGGCTAGTTGCAGCACAGCACCTGACTTTCTTATATTATCCAACTCAACCAGGCATAGGCAAACTCAGCCCTCCAAATGTTTTGGGACTACAATTCCCATCATTCCTGACCACTGGTCCTGTTAACTAGAGATGATGGGAGTCGTAGTCCCAAAACATCTGGAGGACCGAGTTTGCCTATGCCTGAACTCAACAGTCAACCAATTGCCCCTGTTAGTCTTCTAGCATGTCCCCTGGGTCAGAACATTCGGTGGGTGGGCCATGGAATGCTTCTTCTGTTTATGCCGTGAAAGATCCCCTTCTAAGCTCCATCCAACTCATTCATAATTCAAGGGACAGGTGCAAAGTGATTGTGGGCTCCAACAAATTAAAACACAAATATGAGCCTCCTGTAAGTTTCTTCACTTCCAGAACTGTTGCAGTAAACCTCATAGAATCAAATCTCAACTTTCCTACAGTAATACAGGAGCAACCTCTTGCTGCTCTAGTCTTTGCAGTGTTTTAATTGAGAGGTAGACTTGAAATCTTGGAC